TTGGAATATTTTGGAGCTTTGAATCATCTAGTATTCAAGATAATGACTACTTTTTGTTTTTAGAAGCTTTACTTTGTAATCATATGGATTATAATTAAAGACTTGCTTGGATGTAGCGGAAAAATATCGTTCGTAAACTATTATTTCAATTATTGGAATTTTATGAGGAATTAAATGATTAAAATAGGAAAATTCATACCAAAATGTATCTATAACGGCGTTTAATTGTCAGAAAATGAAAATTATGAAAAAAAATTCTTTTGTAATTTTTAAGTTAAAAAAAATGAAGATCAGTGAAAAAAGGGGTAAATGGTTAAAAAAGAATAAATGGGTAAACGGTTATGGTTAAATGGATATATGGTTAAGAATATGATTAATCGTTTATAAAAGGTTATGGGTATGGGTATAACCGTTTATGTAATTACCCAATGGGTAAACGGTTATGCGGGTATGAACATAAATAGTTATGGGTAAATAATTACGGTTACCTGCTCGCCATAATCGTTGCCCATCCATAATTTGACCATATACTAACCTTGGGAACCAGCCAGGAAGGAGCAAGTACGTAATTTCTACGACGCTCAAACTTGAAAAAATTCAGTTGTATTGTGTTGTGTATTCTAGGGATGGGCAAACGGGTATAGGAACCGCGGATTGGGGTGGGTAATCAAGGTTTGGGCCGGGTACAGGCCGGTTCCTAATTAAAAAAAAAGAAATGGAGTGAGGCAGGGTGGGCCTTTGTAATTTTTGGTTTGGGCTGGTTCCCAAAGTATAGGAACCGCGAGTACTCGTACAGGCCCGTTTGTAATTGAAATGGACGGACGAGATTGAAGAGATCATCTCTCCATCTAATCTTAACTGTGAGTTTTAGGTTTCCTTGTCCTCAACCTCGACTCTGTCACTCGATTCCTCGAACTCGATTCCGTCTCCCACAATCTTTCTCCAAACCCAGTGTCTTGTCAGCAACCCAATTGATTGACGATTGCTGGCGTTGCGAGGACTGGAGCAATAACCCAATCTCACCAGTCACCCCTCTCAAGTCTCACCAGTCACTACAACCAGAAACCAAATTTCTATCTCTTTCTCTATCTAACCCCTTCAAGTTTTTAAAGCGGCGTCATCGTCGTTGAAGAAGATCACCCTCAAGAGCTTAGACGGCAAGTCGTTTGAGGTCGAGGAGGCGGTGGTGCTGGAGTTGCAGACCATCAAGCACATGATCGAGGACGATTGCGCCGACAAAGGCATGTCAACGACTCCAAGCCCGATGAGAAAATCTCCGAGGATGATCTTAAGGCCTGGGATCAGAATTTGGTTTGATTCTAGGGTTTCAGAATTTGGGGATTCGGTTGGGTTAGGGTTTATTTATTTATTTGGGGATTGGGGTTAATTGTGTTGTTTTAGGGCCTAGGATTACTAATTTAGCGGTTTTATGTGATGGTGGATTGAATTTGAATGGCGAGCAGGTATTGGGAGGTGTCTCTGCCGGTTCAAAACTCGGCGTCGTCTCTGTGGACCTCCAAAGGTACTTCCGCTGTTTCATTTTTCTTTTGCAATTTTATTTCTTTAGCAATTCAATTTTATTTCGATTTGGGTATTCATTGGATTTGATCGATGTGAAGCTAATGTAAGGTGAATGATTATTGATCTAGAAAGTTAGCGGTGGAGATGGGCAGTTGCAGGTCTCTTTGTGTTCGATTTCGAGCGGCGCAGCCACAGGTGGTGGTGGGAGTTGCTGTTCTAGTTTGGGACATAGTTTGGACTCGGCCTCAGGTACTAATGTTGCAGCATCTGTTGCCACTGCACTAAGCGGTTGCTCAAAACCATGACGAGGAAGCTCGACAAGAAGATGATTGCGACGAGGATGTCCGGCAAGAAGGTGGTGGTCTGGTTCCCGGAACGATTGAGAAAGTTAAAGAAGAAGAAGAAAAAAAAAACCAAGGACCTGTGGACCCGACGGGCCGGGTTCGATCTGATTCCTGTAATGAAATATGATGCACCCAACCTGGCCCATTTCTTTTAAACTCCGGTCCAGTCCGGTTCCTTCAAAATTGGGCCCAGCCCTAGTGTATTCCATTCGGTTAATAAATGGAATGTGTTAGTTGTGAATCTTTCGGGATGTTTGTTGTATGTAAATAACACTTCTAAACTTGATAGCTTAATAAAATGTTGGTATTTTGATTTGTCAAGGGTAAATTATCTCACTTCATGTCAAAAAGGTTGTGTTTCACACTTTGCAGTGTTTATAATTTGCGGATTGGTGTTTGTCTTGCAATGTGCATGTTTTCATTATGCAGTGTGCATATCATGTGCATGTGTTGAGCATGCAATGTGCACGACATACACATGAGCATGACATGTGCATCCTTTCAGCATGCAGTGTGCATAGGCCTGGCAAATGGGTTGTGTTTGTTGTGTTTCTTGTCGTTTTAGTGTAACACATGTTATCTTAACAGGTCGTGACGTGTCATACCCGTTATCTTAACGAGTCCTTAACAGGTCAAGTCATTTTACCTAACAGGTAAAATGACTCGTTAAGAAAAATATTTTTTCTTAAATTTACACATACCACATTGCCACATAAATATTACTTCAAAACATCAAAACATATTTGTCGTTAAGTACTACATCTACACTCCAAAATAAGAACCTAATAAAAAAACACCAATACACTAATAGTCTACCACAAAATAATGAAATATCAAGTGTGCAAGGATATGCAAAATGAAGGAGTTTTTCTTTTCAAGGTTGTGAGGTGTTGATGCACAAAATTAGTGAGGACTTTGGTACAATAGAAAATGTTAAGTTTATAGCTTGGATATATGCTACTCGTACTCCTTTCTTCTCTAAAATCCTCCAAAGAATGTCTCTTGGGACCCTATCATACGCTTTTCCAAATCTATAAAGACCATGTGTAAATCCTTTTTCCCATCTCTATATCTTTCCATCAATCTTCGTAAGAGATAGATTGCCTCCATGGTTGAGCGCCCTGGCATGAACCCGAATTGGTTGTCCGAAACCCGTGTCTCTTGCCTCAATCTATGCTCAATGACTCTCTCCCAGAGCTTCATTGTATGACTCATTAGCTTAATACCTCTATAGTTCATGCAATTTTGTACGTCGCCCTTATTCTTGTAGATAGGCACCAAAGTGCTCGTTCGCCACTCATTTGGCATCTTCTTCGTTTTCAAAATCCTATTGAAAAGGTCAGTGAGCCATGTTATACCTGTCTCTCCCAAAACTTTCCACACTTTGTTTGGTATATCGTCTGGGTCCTTCATTGAAAAGATTATGAAAATAACCTCTCCATCTATCTTTAACCGCGTTCTCTGTAGCAACGACCTTTCCATCCTCATCCTTGATGCACCTCACTTGGTTTAGGTCTCTTGTCTTCTTTTCCCTTGCTCTAGCTAGTTTATAGATATCCAACTCTCCTTCTTTGGTATCTAGTCGCTTATACATATCGTCATAAGCCGCTAACTTAGCTTATCTCACAGCTTTCTTTGCCTCTTGCTTCGCTTTTCTATACCTTTCACCATTTTCATCGGTCCTATCCTTGTATAAGGCTTTACAACATTCCTTCTTAGCCTTCACCTTTGTTTGTACCTCCTCATTCCACCACCAAGATTCCTTTTGGTGTGGGGCAAAGCCCTTGGACTCTCTTAATACCTCTTTTGCTACTTTTCGGATACAACTAGCCATGAAATCCCACATTTGGCTAGCTTCCCCCTCTCTATCTCACACACACTGGGTGATTACTTTCTCTTTGAAAATGACTTGTTTTTCTTCTTTTAGATTCCACCATCTAGTCCTTGGGCACTTCCAAGTCTTGTTCTTTTTTCTCACTCTTTTGATATGTACATCCATCACCAACAAGCGATGTTGATTAGCCACGCTCTCTCCTGGTATAACTTTGCAATCCTTACAAGTTATACGATCCCCTTTCCTCATTAGAAGAAAATCTATTTGTGTTTTTGACGACTCACTCTTGTAGGTGATCACATGTTCTTCTCTCTTCTTAAAGAAGGTGTTGGCTAAGACGAGATCATATGCCATTGCAAAATCCAAGATAGCTTCCCCATCCTCGTTTCTCTCCCCAAAACCATGGCCACCATGAAAACCTCCATAGTTGCCTGTCTCCCTGCCCACGTGTCCATTTAAATCTCCTCCTATAAATAACTTCTCCGTCTGAGCAATTCCTTGCACCAAGTCTCCAAGGTCTTCCCAAAATTTCTCCTTCGAACTCATATCCAACCCTACTTGAGGTGCGTACGCACTAATCACATTGATAAGTTCTTGTCCTATTACAATCTTGATTGCCATGATTCTATCTCCTACCCTCTTGACATCTACAACATCTTGTGTCAAGGTCTTGTCCACGATGATGCCAACACCGTTTCTCGTTCTATTTGTGCCCGAGTACCAAAGTTTAAACCTTGAGTTTTCTAGATCCTTTGCCTTAAGACCAACCCACTTAGTTTCTTGTAGGCACATAATATTTATCCTTCTCCTCACCATAACTTCCACTACTTCCATAGATTTTCCCGTTAAGGTTCCTATATTCCACGTTCCTAAACGCATTCTACTCTCCTGAACTCTACCCTTCTGTCCTAGCTTCTTCACCCTCCCCCGTCCAATGGAATCAAAGTACTTCTTTTGTGTGTCCCGTGTAAAGTTGGTAGGTGCATATGCTCCCAAACAACTTTGAGTGGAGTCATTCGAAAAGAAGTTTCTATGGCCCCCTTGCTCATTTAACACTGCATCCGGGTGCCTATGGAGATACAGCGACCCTTACTCACTTATCACTGTGCTCGGGCCACACAGCGCGCCACTTACAGGTGACGCCCTAGCTTTAGCGCAATTTCGTTCTGAATTCATTTTCATAAGGATTCGACGTAACTGTGGAGTGCCGGCTGTCGACTACCTGACGCCCTCCCCCTCCTCCTTTACCCGGGCTTGGGACCGGCAATGTAAGATAAACTTACATAGGCGGAGTTCAATACAGAGACAAATGTGTCAACAAAAATAACATTTGACACCCTCCTCCAAACTTTCACTGATTTCAACTTCTTATCAAGTTTTCTCTTACGAAGTTGCAGTCTCTCAAACATCGATGCCTGGTTCTTACAAATAGCCTGATTGCAGCTTCCCATCTGCCCATGCGGCCATGCCCCTACTTCTTCCTCAAACTGCCTAATTGCAGCTTGAATTATCAGCTGGTTATTAAGCGCACGCTTAAGACTTTACTCGAGGGAAGTACAAATGTTCAACGTTTGAATATTTCTCAAAGTATTCCTCCACAAGAGAGAACATTTCTTTACTGTTCCATATATCCTTCTTGCATTCTAGAATCACATTGACCACTTCCTGGTCTCCTTGAGCAAGTCAAGGGATAGGGACCAAACTTCCAGCGCAGCTGAAACCGAGTGAATGACACCACTTGTGCATTGCTGGAGATTGACATGAAATGATTACAAGCCCGGATCAAGCTTACAGGCTACCACAACGAGATTTAAATTTAGCTAATTTATCATAATTTAAATACACGATCATAACCAGAGCTCTCACATATTTGAGCTCAACCCAAAAACCAGCTCTATCGACATCCCCCTCTTCCAACCCATAAAAATGATGTCATCATCTATGAATTATTACTATTTATATGTGGGTATTTTAGTAATTTCGATTTTGTCCTATTTCTGTCCCAAGATTAAGAAATTGTATTGTTTATGGGTATTTCCCTAGAATTTCTCCCATACGAGTTAAATGCCAAACAAGGCAGTCTGTTATTGACATTAACCGCAACTTACTTTTGGTTCATGTCTTATGATTCCTAGAGTATCCATTCTCTTTAGTAATGCGGTACCATTACATATATTAAATCTAGCAACCTCACATTCAACTATATTTTCAATCTAGTTTTCGTTCTAGCCCTGGATATACAACACACTGACCCTTAACGCTACGTTTCAATTTACTAACAACTTTATCCTCAATTGTTAAAATTAAAAGACAGGTACACTACCAATGAACTACTCAAATGTATTGCATACTCAAAAAATTTACCCTAAGTTCCATGCAAGTTTAAATTCCCTCATCCAAACGAACTAAGCTCTAATGTCTCAATTCCAAAATAAAATCAGATCATAACATTGACACTTTACAATTTACTGCTAATTGATTCGGGTACAATTCTATATTCAGAATAAATCAACACGTTATGATACCTAATGCCCAAAATTAATCAGCAATCACAGCACAAAATAAAATCAGATTATAACATTGCACACTTTGACTTAACCAACTTTAATTAAGCTGTTAAGTATTAGGGGGGAGTTTATAACAAGGAGATGATGTCATTTGGTCAAGTAGAAAGCATTGCAGAGGTGTTCTCATACAAATCTACGAGATACTAAAAGTAACAGCACAAAGCAAGAAGCAAATCAAAGGATGTTTATCTTGAAGCAACACTCTGAAACGGAAAATCCTCATAAGTCATAAAAAATAACTTAAATTATTAAACTGAAAAATGAAAATGTGAAAAGTTATGTGCATTCACAAAAATCTGATGTGGCTCACCGTGATGCTCTTGCATGTGTTGTGATCTACCCTACTACTTAGTTCGATTTGTTATACAGTTAAGTGCCAACCTAGAAAACCGGGTAAGAGTGAAAAACATTTGCCATAGAGCATGACCCTTAACGATCCCCTCCCGTATGCCTCTTGCAGTTTTAGCCAAAACGGGCCCTGGCACCTCAGTTTTCTGACTTACTACCTGCGCCGATGCTAAGCAAGTAAAGATGAATTTTACATCCACTGCTCCAAAACCAAATTGAAAACTCACTTTTTAAACAACAACAAAAGAAAACTACAGAAAACATGGATAACCTGATGGAGCCATGTTTGTCAAGCGGCGCAACCTCTCCTCGGCCACGCGAACAGCTCGAGTGGAACTTCTAACGCCTTGTGTAATTTCCTGTCTGGACAACAAACAAAACCGAATGAGTCCACAGAGAATGTCTTTTTAAAGAACATTAAACAAGTGATAGATTTCATTCATCATAAGACAACGATATAAGAGCGTTGGAATAGCAATGCCAACCCAAGATCGCTGAGCTCCATAGTGAGGTCACTAATCTCCATTCCGGATAAACGAACAGCAGCCATTGTGTCGGGAAGCTCTTCCCTAATAACATCCATCAGTTTTTCAAGTGATTGAGCTGCCCTCTTGAAAGCCTTCAGAAACAACCACATTGCAAAATTCACTTTACTAACAACGATTGCACGACAAAAACAATACCCGATTTCCAATTGCCAATACTAATTAAAACCATCGAGCATTCAAAGATTACGAACCAGTAGGGCGGGGATCGCAGAGCATAAGAGCCACGTCGCGGAAACTGCTACCTATTAAGAGCACAAAAATCAAAATGTTATTCAATAAGAAAAACCCACCAATTGCTGTAAATTCAAGAACAAATAATTGCAGAGAAATTTTTAGGTTTGCTTGTGCAGAATAAGGTTAATTCAGAGCGGAATTACGCTTCCAAAAGCATAAATATATGAACTTAGAGAGAGAGAGAGAGAGAGAGAGAGAGAGAGAGAGAAAGAGAGAGTTACTGCGCAAGCAACGACATTGAGGAAGACGATGTGCCGGTGGGTGAGGTTCCACTGAGGGAGGTGAAGAAGTGAAGTCTGAGAAAGTGATGGAGATCCGAGGGTTTCAGAGTAAAGCGATGAAACTGACGTCCCAGATGCTCCGTTAACATACTGCGACTGCACGGACAGTGAGATGAGCCGTCGAGGCGGCAGCCTGAGATGGTGGGGCAGACGGCGAGGGTTTATGTTGCCCTCCAGGCTGTGGTTGGCGTTTTGGTTAATCCTAGGGTTACTCGCCAGCTGAAATTTCCCACCCACGAACATTGCCATAGCTTCTCTCTCTACTCTCTCCTATGAGAAGAAGAGATGACAGATGAGTCTCTGGGTCACTCGGCCCTCGCAATCTCCGCCAGCAAGCAGACCTGAGGCCATCTCCAACCAACCCAAGGGTGCAGATGGCCGAAAATAATCCTAAAATCGTCTCTAACCGTCCGTCAAGCAAAATGACTTGTGGATCTCACTGATCAACCGGCCTGCCCAAATGAGCCAGCCGGCCGGCCCCAGTTGTGCTAAAAAATTTGAATCTCAACGGTTAATTGACGTCAGTTAGCCGTTATTATTTTTTTTTTTTCCATTTGTTTTTGAGCAAAAAATTTAAAAAGAATATTTAATTAAGATCCAGAAAGGTGATTGGTTCTATGTGAGGATATTGCTTTTATAAGCATATTTGATTGCTCAAACCTCTCCCATAGCCGATGTGGGACAAATATAATGGGTGCCCCAAATATAAGCTTCCTATTAGAGATGGTAAATGTGCATTTAATTTAAGTTGTTGTAGTTTTTAAATTGGGAATTGTTATTAGCACTCCAAAAATCTCATTATACGTTCCAAACTTTCTATATTAGGAAAGAAAAATACACTTATGAGGAGTGTAAAATGAGATTTTTGGAGTGCCAATAACACTTCCCATTTAAATTTAAATAATATATTTGGCCCTATGGCCCTCGGTTGGAGATGGTAAGAAATATAATCCTACACTGTTCATTAAAATATTAATTTCTTAGAGGGCCAGAGGGCTAAAACGAGCCCTCTGGCCAACCTTCGGTTGGAGATGGCCTGAGGCTGAATGTTTATCAAATATAGCCAAATATTAGCGTCTAATTTCAAAAATGTCAATTTTTATAAAAACTTTTAAATATTCAAAATCTCTCTTAAATAGACACAAATACCCTTAATTCATACAAATAACTAGTTGTTGATTAAAAGATTCTTGTGCGATAATCAAGTGGTGTTTTTGTGACAACCCGTCCTTAATTTTATGATAATATAAATTTAAAAGAGTGATTTTACGAAAATGCCCTTAGAGGCCAGGATGTTTGACTTTCGTTGGCCATCTTTCGTGACCTGTATAAGCTACTCTTTTGCGAATTCTCGATGTACTCGACAATACAAATGTATGGGCGCAAACGGAACGCAATTTGGAGTTATTAACAAATGAAGTCGATGACAAAATGGTCAATTGATTATTTCTAGAAGGCTTCAAATTTCTGGAGCAAAGAATTGCTATGCCACGTGTGTGGCAATGATGGAAATATGAGAAATCAAGAGGGGAAAAAAGGCCAATGGGGTGATAGGTGGAGTGACTAAAAGGATAAGGAGAGAGCCCCATCGATTGGGGAAGCAGGACGAATCAAATAACATAAGGGGGGATGGACCAATCGGGGAGGAGAGAAAGGAGAAAAAGGAGAGAGAGAAAAATGAGGGAGCCAGCGGGTCGGGTCAGAGAATAACCCGAGTGACCCGACTGTTGACCTGACAGCAACAACCTCAAATTCAGGCGACTTTCCGGCGAGATGAAATCCGCCACCACCTGTAAACGTCTTCTCGTCATCCCTCATGCAATTTCCACCTAAGTATCGACGAGTTTTGGTGTTATTTCTCGAAGGAAACTTGAGGAATGAACGTGTTCTTCCCATAGTCTACAACGACAAATCCCACCATTTCTAAATGTTATCTGATAGGAGCATATTTATGCGACTTAGTGGGCTTGTTCTTGTGCATTTATGTTGTTTTTCTTTAGTTATTTTAGTGTTTAAAGTCATTTTCGTGCAATTTCAGGTTTTAGAGACAAAGTATGCAAAGAAGTGCAAAATGGAGCATTTTAGAGCAAAATTGAGCTGGAATGGAGTGTATGCTCATGGAGCACAAGGAATGGACGAGTTTGAAGGTCAAAGGAGCTTAAGAAATGAAGAAATGAAAGTGAAGAACAAAGAATTCAGAATTGGAAACCAAAGTTTCTAAAGTTGGAAGTTTCTATTCTTGGAGGTTTCCATTTTAAGAGTTTCTATTCTTGCCTTTGGGCTTTTAAATGACCTATCCTTGCCCTCTTAGACTTAGGCCGCACCTTCCTAGCCCAATCCTTCTTGGATTCTGACTTGTTAGGCCCTTTCCTTGTGGATTTGGGTTATACAAATCCCTTTCTAAAACTAAGTGGGCCAAAACCCTAATTCCTTGTGGATTTTCACCCTTTGCCGCACCTAAACCCTAGCCCATTGGCTAATCTGATTGCTAGGGTTTTTGGTGCCTATATATATACTCATTAAACCCTTTGGCCGAATATACCACCTCTCATATTCATTCTACATGCCAGAAACCCTAGTTCTAAATCTGCCGCAGCCATCCCCATCCATTCTCCATATTTTCTAACCCTAAACACCATTGCCGCAACCTCCCATCCACCCTAAACACTACTACCTTATTCCATACCCATTCATCCATATACCTAAGTCCCTAAATCTGTCCCTAGACCCTTTGCCGCAACAAGGAGGAGGAGGAGAAGCCTTGGAACGTTCATGCCATTCAAGTTTGAGTTGCTGGAAGTTTTAGGTGTTTCCTTTCCTTTGATTTCAATGTTTAATTTCTATACTCTTTGTTTTGTGCGTATGAGGAACTAAACCCCCCCCTTGGCTAGGGGGGGATTCGAAACATGTTTATGCTTGCTATATGATTTGATTACTTCTAATTGCGTTTCATAAGTTGTGGATTCAATTTGCTTATCTATTCGAATTAAACTGATTTGTGTGTGTTGGTTGAGAGTGCACGCTTAATTTTCATGCATAAATCTAATGCTAGGATGTAAGGGATTTTCACCTAATCGTTATGAACTTATATTCACAAGTAGCAAAGGTTGTTGATCACAATCGTGTTAAGTAAATTCTTGGCATAAGTATCATGCGCTTTCATAGTTACAAGTGCCTCGTCAATACTTATGATTTCCATTGAACGTAATGATCTTTAATTGTATCTCTATTATGCACTTTCATGTAGGGAACTTTTGAGGAATAATTTGGTTACGATGCGCTTTTTCCATCCAATTCATTGACTTAAGGGAAATCTGAAAGTTAATTTAAGCGTATCTAATTAACTTGGGGTGTTGGGAATTCATGGTTATTGAGAAGCAATTGGAAATCGTTTTGTATGCAAGTGTGACATGTGTGGAGAAGAACCCCTTAGCTAGCCTTCCATCCATTCACTTTTATCAATTTCGTTTTAAAATCTGTTTTGAGTTACAAAGTTTTTGTTTTGTTTTAAATTTCGTCAAAACCAATTCCTCCTTTATTTTGAAGTGTTAGATTAGTTAGAAATCAATTTAGTTTGAGTTTTTAAGTGTCTTGAGTCAAGTAATAACTTAATTTCGTCCAAATTTGTGTTAGGTGTTCAAAACTGCCCAGATTGTGTTTTTAAGGCAGTTTTGAGTGTTTAGGTGTTGTTTTGAGTCTTTTGGTCTGTTTTGGTGATTTATAGTTTTGTTTTGCATTCTTTGAGTCTAGTTTAGTGTTTTAAACTTTGTTTTTTTATGTTTTTGAGTCAGTTTTAAGTGATTTAGCAATCCCTCCTAATCCCCGGCCTAGAACGATCCCTACTTACATTCCATACTACAATTGATAAAAAGATCGTTTAATTTGTGTGCTTATATTTTTCACATCAAATTTTTGGCGCCGTTGCCGGGGATTAGCAATATTGCTAATCCCTTGGATTGTTTTATTTCAGTTTGTTTTAATTTGTTTCCGATTCTGACCTTGTTTTTGGTTCTTGTTGTAGGTACTAGTTTATGACTCGGAGTTCTCATCCGATTCATGAGCATATCTTGGACTTTGACGACGATTTCGAGAGGACTTTGAGAAGGAATAGGAATCAACAAGATCATACCCCACCTATTCCTGAACCCGAGCGTGAAGAACATCCACTTGAAGAAGAAGAGCAACCCACGGCAAGAGTGGGTGAAGAAGTGCAAGACATGGCACAAGACAATCGTACAATCAAAGAGCTTTCAGCTTCGGGATTGGACAATGCCGCACCCATTTGCATCCAATACCCCGCGGCTGCTCAAGGCAAGACCGAAGAGTTTGTATTGAAGTCAAGCTTGCTGCACCACATTCCAAAGTACCATGGATTGTCCATGGAGGATCCCAACAAGCACTTGAAAGAGTTCGAGGTGGTGTGTTCAAGCATGACTCCAATCAATGTTGATGGGAGCATATTGAAGATGAAGGCCTTTCCCTTTTCTCTCTTGGAAAAGGCGAAAGATTGGTTGTATAAGTTAGCTCCCGGAACGGTCACATCTTGGGAGAGCATGAAACGGGCCTTCTTGGAGAAGTTTTTCCCAACTTCTCGAGTCATCCTCCTACGAACAAGGATAAGTGGAATTCAACAAGATGAAGGTGAATCTTTTCCTACTTATTATGAACATTTTAAATCTCTTGTTGCTTCATGTCCACAACATCAAATGAAGGAGGAGCTTCTTTTACAATACTTCTACGAGGGACTTCTACCAATCGAACGTCAAATGCTAGATGCCTCAGCAGGAGGAGCTTTGGTGGACAAGACCCCCACGGCAGCAAAGACTTTGATTGCCAATCGAGCGTTGAACGCTCAACAATACGAAGGTGTTGGGCAAAGAGGCACCCCACGGCAACACCAAGTCAATGAGGTAAGTGCCATAACCGAACTTCAAAACCAAATGGCTAACCTTACTACTTTGCTTTCTCAGGTGGTGGAAGGTCCAAAAGTACAAAACGTGGCTGCGTGTGGCGTGTGCTCCATGCAAGGCCACCTTACGGACAAGTGCCCACAATTGATTGAGAATGGAGGGTGGGAGACCCTCAATGCCGTGGGTTTTGGAAATCAGTACCAACCAAGGAATGACCCATTTTCTAATACTTACAATCCCGGTTGGCGTGATCATCCAAATTTCAAATGGCGAGAACCCCAACAAGCCCAACAACAAAGCGGATTTAGGCAACAACCCCCGGGTTTCTATCAAAAGCCGTTTGCACCAACTCAACCCCAAGCACAACCCGCCCAAAAATCAGGTTCTTCTATTGATAATGATCAGATTTTTAATTTACTAACTTCTATGGTGCAGGGCATGCAAACTAGGGACAAGAAGGTGGACGAGTTGGAGAAGCAAGTGGGGCAAATTGCAGAGTTTATGGGGCAGTTT